CAGAAAGGTCCATGTAATTAAACTGGTATTCTTGTAAATCCTCGTTTTGTCGTTTTCTTGCCATCGCCCTAGTAACAACACACGCTGGATACAGTTCAGCATCATCTAAAGGTGATTTAACATCCACCACCGGTTCGCTGGTAACAATTGGTTCAGCAACCACTTTGTTCCTAGCTAGATCATTTCCTAACAATAATGAAACACCCTCAACAGGGAGATTAGGAAGAACACCCACAACAACTGGTCCAGTAATTAAATCTTACTTCAGATAAATACGATGGAGGGGAACATCTATACAACCTAACACCACACCTTGTAATTAAACGGAGTCACCAACAGAAGTCTCTTCGGACAAAGGTAACACACCTTCTAACAATAAAGTCTGAGAAGCTCCAATGTCCCGTAAAATCTTAATAGGCTGAGGAGTAGTATTATCTACAATAGAAACAAACCCATCAGACATAAAGGGTTTATAATCCTCCGTGTAATTACAAAAACTGGACTTACAAGCCTGACTCGCAGGACATTCCAACGTATTGGTAACACGGGGTGTCGTACAAGCACTGGACTTGGACTTATTATCTCTTTCGTTCTTCTTCTGGAGTCTAAAACAATCAGCCATCAGGTGACCATTTTTCTTACAATAAGCACAAGTTAGTGACTTCTTCTCAAAAGTATCAAATTTTGGACTAGACATATTATAACTAGACTGATTCTTATTCAGTGCAACAGGCTTACTATCAGTACGCTCAGTACTTTTATTTTTAATTTGTCGCTCGAAGTATTAAAATTTTGACCTTTGAAACTTCTTTTATGTGAAAGGGTAATTATCGGAAATAACAGCTGCATCTTGTAATGTCTCAACAGTTTTGTCATGTAAATGTGTTTTTAAGGCTAAATGAACACACTGCTTGAACTCTTCTAATAACATTAATTGTCTTATTTTATCAAAATTGTTACCTATTTTCTTTGACGTAAGCCATTTATCAAATAGATCTTCTTTTTCTCTAGCAAATTCAACATAGGTTTGTGAATCAAACTTTTTATAAGACCCAAATTTCTGTCTATATGCTACTGGCACTAGCTCATAAGCTTTCAAAACTTCCTGTTTTCCCGTATCATAATCAGAACTTCTTTTGTATGAAAGTGCTGAGTAAATTTCAGCGGCCTTGCCCTCAAAAACACTTTACAGAATTGTAGTCCAATAAAGCTTTATCCATTTCAAATTTTGAACAATTTTCTCAAACTGTGGAAAATATTCATTAACTGTTTTTTTTTCACAAAATCTGGGAACCAGACGTATATTTTTTGGTGCAACAAAATATTCTGATTTTGACACTACTTTAGTTGCTTTCTTCTTTGATCATTTTAATTTTCATTTTCTCCATCTCTAACCTTTCCCTAAAATCAAGTTCTGCCTGTTTTGATTTAAATTCGTCTTCTTTTTCTTTTCTTTTCTCCATCTCTAACCTTTCCTTCATTTCAAATTCTGCCTGTCTTTCTTCTTTTTCTTTTTCCAATTGTTTTAATTTAACTTCGTTTTCCAATTGTTTTAATTTAAATTCATCTTCCTTTTCTAATTGTTTTCATTTAAGTTCGTGTTCTAATTTAAGCTGTTTTAATTTGAAAGCATCAATATTTTCGACCTTGAGTTCAAGAGCCTCTTCACCAAAAATTTCTGAGTCAACTAAATTGTCTATAACCAAATTTTTATAATTTGTTTTCTCATAGATCCTCTAAAATCTATTGGTAGATGTTTAGCAAGCAACACTAATTCTTCTTTCTTTAGTTTATCAAACCCTTTCAGGTCTGGCGTCTTTAAAAATTTACCAGCACCAAATACCATTTTGTAGAATTTTGTTGGCTAATTCTAATTCTAATTCAATAAAATTAAAAAAAAAAATAATCTGATATGAACTTTCTCCCGGACGAGCCCCCAATTTCTGTTACGGCCAGAAATCGCCTTTAAATTGTAGCCAACAAAAGACACAAATCAATAATAAAATTTAACAAGATTTATTAGACACAAGTTTACAAGAAATATTATACAAATTAAAATGTCAACTTAACTGTTAAAATATATGTCCGATCCTTTTGTATTTTCTTTATCCGGAATTCTTCTCTTCACTGTTACGAGAATCCAAACAGAATATTATGTCCAATAAGTCACAATCTAATATGACGTAGTTAACGTAAATAAAAGTGTCAATGTAACAACTCCAGAAAACTTCTGAGAATATTAATGTCTAATCTGAGTGTCTAACTTTAGTGTCTGTATATATATAGTTGTCACGGAAATCTCTAGAACACTGTAGAAGGGAAACTCCTAGAAAACTGTAGAACGGAAACTTCTAGAATATGGTAGAAGTTTAAACTACACATCGTAGATGATGATCATTCCAGAGTTATTATGTAAGTCAAATAGAAAGTTCTAATCATTCCATCAGTATCTATGATTGTTCCTGACCAGTCATTTCTAAACTGCACAGTTATGACATTATTTTGTAAACAACTATAAGTATTATGTTAACATATTATACATGTTATAAGGCCACACAAAACAATTTAGGCCAATATAAATGAACATAATAATTACAATATCATAACACCTAACTCACAAAAGAAAAACGACCGCCTTGTCATGTTCTATAAAATATCAAAAACAAACATATTTATTCATTCAGACAGTTATGACCAGGCTGTTTGTCGGTTTAGCTTTATATTTGAGCATTCGAGGAAAACTAGCTGTCTCTAAGATAAAGTTCAGGTCGCTGGATAATTTACATATTTTTCTTGCTTTCGTTTATTTCATTGATCAAAGACATAACTGAAAAACAAACTCAGACTCAATGTAATGTAATGTAACATATCAACAATAACACGATATATAAACACATGCAATTAAAAAATTAAAAAGATGAGCAGATGCCAAATAGAATCCACAATTGGACAAAAGTGAGTTCCCAAGATGGCATATTACGGACTGTTATGGAGGGATAAAATGAAACTTTTATAAATGTGTTAAAAATAAAGAAAAACTTACCTTTATTGACTAATACTTTGTTATAAATTCCTTAGCTCTGAAAACAGTTCTTATTCGTTTTGATAGGATATTGTACAGGCTTTGAATGCAATGGAGTTGAAGTGATGTCCAAATTTCTTGCACAACAGTTTTTTTAGTCCCCGGCATTGGAGATATCATTTATTCTCTGCTGGACATAAAATTTTATCACTTTCCACTCTTTTTCAATTATGGTTATGTCTGGACTTTATGGCGGACACGATGTTGTTGGAATATCATTTTCCGTCTTCATCTGATAAGACTGTCGGGACCTATGGCAGGGAGTATTGTCTTACGGGAAGATGAAAGGGTCGACACTCGATAGAGAAATGTCTAGCTATCACAGACCACAAATTCTCTTTTAAAATATTTATATATCACTCACTGTTTAGATTTCCTTTGATTGGTGTTAGAGTTCCCACTCCATGGTATGAAATGCACCACCAAAAGATGGCAGCAAATCTAGCTTTGAATATTTTCCCGTGGTACAGTTCATTACATTCTGGTCATCATCATTCATCAATTTTACGCCACACAGAAACTTTGTTTTCAATTTCTATTTTTCTCTTATTACTAAAAATTACTTTTTTCTAGTTTTCCCGCACTGTCCAATGAAGTTTTTCACCACAAAATCGTTTCCTTTTCTAGCGATTTACTGGAGAAATCGTTGTTATCTTCGAAACTGGGTGCCTCTTGTAACCATTAAACTGTATCTGCCGCCTGACTGTCCTAGCAAAAACAGGGTTCAATGTCTGACCATTAAATGCATCAGTGATGTCGCCAGGTCCGAAAGCAACAGTCGTTGAAGCTTTCGATCATCCCTGCGGATCAATCTTTTTCTTCCGTCCACTTCTCCCATAGTTTTCCTCTGATCCACGGTCGCAAAACCTCTTTAAGAATTTGTTGATGGTTCTACTATTCATTCCTAATAATGTTCCTATCTATTTCCCAGAATAACCTCTATTAATTCTATAATCATTTTATTTCTTCACTAGTGTCATCTCTTTTTTTCGTGGGGTGCCATCTTAAAAGCAGACGAATTATTTGTTCATTTACGTCAGTGCAACATAAATGACGCAATCAACAAAATATGTGCTCCTAGGGGTCACTTTCAGTAACGACTTTTAGTATATAAAGAGGGATAACTCTAAGAAAAGCCTCGGTAAAAAATCGGTTCAAAATTGCTTAACTTTGCATCAGCCATTTTTGGAACTCATTTTCGTCCAATGAGTGTAGATCAAAAGAGGAAATTAGTGTCCGTTGCAGGTAAAAAACACCAAGTCACATGTTGATAAAAAGCGAATTGCACACATCCAGTTCTAATTTTATATAAATGTATTAGTTTGGTGTCATGAATTTATACACCATATCGTTTCATTTCTACTATATAGAAATCAAAATTCCTAACATTTGCCCTTCAGATTTTTTGCACTAGTATGGGGTTTGGATATTAACCAATTATTTGGATTTAACCCTTGTTTTCTATTTTCAGTCAAGGTAGTCATGTTGATTGACTGGCACAGAAAATAAGGAATTATAATTCAGGCACCCCAAGTATCAATCAATATAATGGAAACAAATCTATGTATAAAACAACAAGTGGACGACGTGCGCCATGTGATATCAAACTACATGAGTCATACGTCTAGAGTTCGGCAAAATAAATATCATTCACAGTATCCATGGGTTTATCTGTTTTACGTAGTGACAACAAGGATACAAATCCTTGGTGACAATGAAGAATGTAAAGACACGTGATGCAACGTGTCAAGTAGTAAAAAAATAATCATTTAGTCCTAACCGAACAATTTAAATACACGTAACTTAATACAAATATTGATTTAGAACGATAAATGTTGGAAATGCATGAATTATTTTAAACATACATGAGTTTTAGATCTGTTTAAAATTCTATTTGATCTAGTTAAGTATTCTAAATATGCATATGGAGGCAATACTTTCTGTCCTGGATTACCATAAGATTGATAATTATATATCTATATGCGTTGGGTTAAATTTGTTTACAAATGGAATCTATGATTTCCTAGAGGATAAAATAAAAACTGAACATCAAAAATTGTACAGGATATGTGCAAGCGGTACGTGTACGAAACAGAACTGTAGTAAAAGATTTAAAATGTTTAAAGATTGGTGCCAGAGTTGCAGTAAGTGGAAAGCAGAACTAAAAAAACTAAAAAGTGATGAATGTCGCCATTGGAAAAATATAAACTGGTTTCAACTAAGTTCGTCAGACTGGCCGCAATCAATAGACGAAATGGCGAAAGTATTTGTGAAGAACACAAGCGTAAGTTTTATGCACGGCGTGTTTTACGATTTTGGCGCCGTTATGTCAATATTAACAAATATGTGTATATTTGGGTTCGACAAAACAACCCTGGAGGATATCAAACGCATGCGAAACGACTACTATGGTCATAATTATACAAATGGTATACATGACGCAGAAAAACGTATTTTCTTTGACAAATTGTTACGTTTTATTAGACTACCAGAAGTATGTGCATATCAAAGTGCTATCAAATTTACTCCTGCTTTGGAAGAAGTACAAAACACAGAACCCTTCGCGCAGAAATTATTGACGAATCTTTTGATTAAGCGTAGTTTAAATGCTGTTCGTGATGTTCTTCTAAATGATTTCCCATGTCACGTTTCTGGCGAAATAGCAATGGTTGTTCAAGATGAAATGACAGCCGATAGGCAGTTATATTTACATTATAAAAGTCGATTAGATGAACTTATATCTCCAAATGAAATTACAGAAGAATCTGCAATCGTAGACAGCAGACCTTTTGTACGAACTAAAAAATTCAACTTGAACCATCTATTTCGATTTCTGCTATTTTCCACACTTTTTGTCACACTGAAGAAGACGAAAACTAACCCAGCAGGTATTTCATTTAAATGTATTTCAATGAACGTTGTTAATATTCATGTGATATGAATGTTCAGTTAGAGCTTATATAGCTCGATCGGGCTATTATACTTCATCCTAGTTGTACACAATTATCTCCTTTTTCTCCCTTTCAAATGTTATGGGGAAGTGCAACCTCGCACTTTACTTAAATAATGAAGAATGGTATATAAGAAAAATATAGTTCTGCAAAATGTTTTCCTTGTACTGTGATAAAAAGTTATCTCCTCATATCCTGACAAAATTTAAATTGTAAATAATTTTTCAAAGCTTAATTGCATATTTATAGCTCGATTGATCGACACAAAATTGAATTTAATATTTGATAACCGATTGATAAAATATCCTGGTAACCCCTCCAACTTCTGCAAAAAAAAATCCTATTTAACTTTCAAGAACTGAAATCAAACTGTTCGGATCACATTAATATAGAGGACGACGAGTATGCAATTTGCACCAAGTCTCTTTTATATATCAGATAATGTATTTAATGAGACATACAATGGTTGGTAACAATTGATTCTATGAAATAAAAAGATACATGTAACTACACTTTAACATACATCATAAAAGAGAGGCGAAAGATACCAGAGGAATATTCAAACTCATAAGTCAAAACAAACTGACAATGCCATGGCAAAAAACGATTGACCATCAAAAGCCAAACAACAGTATCTTATACACAACATAGCAAACTAAAGACTGAACAACAAGAACCCCAACAAAAACAGCGGATGATCTCAGGTACTCTAGAAGGGTAAGCATATCATGCCCCACAATCGACACCCGTCGTGTTACTCTTATCAAATACGTTGATTAGAAAATATTCATTAGTAAATATGATTCAAATACATGCTAGTGATTTGCATTCTTTCACGCTTCAAATTCCTGTTAACCCTATGTAGTGTAAACTTTTTAGTTCGTAAATTGAAGAAAGCAATAAAATACGAATTAAAACCGCATGAAAAATGCAAAATTTAGCCAACATGCATAACGCACAATCGCATTTATCCTTCCGACCAACCCATAGCTCTACTTACGAACGGAACAGTTTACAACTAATACCTACGACCACGGCAGTTTGCCAACAATACCTACAACTTGAACATTTTGCCAACAATATTTATGACCACGACATATTTGCAAACAATACCAACGACAAAGACAGTTTGCCAACAGTACCTTCAACTGGAACATTTTGCAAACAATTGATACGAGCACGACTGTTTGCAAAAAATACTCACGACCACGTAAGTTTGCCAACAAAACCATGACCGGAACAGTTTAAATAAATCATATATTAACAGCAATAACTGTCCTTTCCTAGATTTAGATATTTCAGTGTTGCACCAGAAACTCTACACAAAAGTTTACGACAAATGGGATGATACCTTTCCCTATTGTTAATTTTCCCTTTTCGGACGATGATGTTCCTTTGGCACCGTCTTATGGTGTTTATATATCTCAACTCGTTCGCTATGCCCGTGTCTGTAGTGACGTTTTGGATTTCAATGAGCATAATCAATGCATTACTAGTAAATCATTACTTCAGGTATTTCGTTACCACACATTACTTAAAACCTTTACTAAATTCGTCCATAGATGTTTTGTTATAAATTAGGCCGTTAGTTTTCTCGATTGAATTGTTTCATGTCGGGGCCTTTTATAGCCGACTATACGATGTGGGTTTTTCTTATTGTTGAAGGCCGTACGATTGCCTTTAATTGCTTACATCCACTTCATTTGAACTTTGGTGGATAGTTGTCTCATTGGCAATCATACGACATCTCTTTGTTTTTATATTTACTTGAAAAAGAAAAAGGTAAAGGAACCCTCCACTGATAGCATTATCCTATTAGGAACAAAATGAATAGATTTGACGCAATGTTTGCACGATTGAACAGATCGATCAAATTAAAAGTAGTGTTCAAACATGAGGCAAGTGATTGTTTTTCAAATTTTATTTGAATAAGATTACGTTATCTAATTTAGTAGACAATCTAACTTTCGTCCGTTGATAAAGTATTACAATATATTATAAGAAATAGAATAATATTGATTTTAAGATATTTATTCATCGTTTTTTTTTTTACAAAACTGAAGTTTATTAATAATTTTTTTTATGAGCTTTAAAATCTAATAAATGATTTGGTTGGTTTTCAGTTGTTGTATTTGTACTTTTTTACTACTTTCTTTTAATGCAAACTGTTTAAATTTTTATTTCAAAGATGGGTACATCTTAGTAGAAATTTATGAGTTTAATTAGCATTTTGACAACACAAATATGATACTAGTAGGATCTACATGATAAGATAATATATTGGGCGGTTCGTTCGTACGACGTTGAGTTTCTTAGGTGCATTTTGCTAGTTAATGTAAATATGTATATAAAGAGCATTCAATTTGACCATACTTATAGTAATTATAGTAAGTAGTTCATTTTTAGCATGGGGCTTTGAGCGTTGTATTCTCGTTTATTGTGAAAAAATAAATCGCTAGAAGAGCTTGATTTTTATTGCAGGATGTATGAGTATGCGGTTTCAGCATCACTGGATGAGCGCAATAGATTTCGATTATCATATACAAGAATTTAACAGTAGCAGTATAATAGAACGTGTCTGGTTAGAACCGGTAGTGACATCAAGTCTGAAAAAGCAGATGCATGTATTATTGTCAGCAAACCTTGGATACGGAAAGTCTACTATTGTTTCGCAAATAATGTGTGCTGGGGTATATTCACCATGGCATCACCTTAGACAAATGGTCAATGCCTATCATATGTGCCGCTTTAATTATAAAGCGTCAATTCAGTCAGACATTTTCATTCGTAATCTTGCAGGAAAAATAGTGAAGGATGTTCCTGAACTTGGTAATGCAATATTAGCTGACGAGCATGCACTCGACTATTTAGAAGAATACAGATGTAAGCAGGACCCGTTTTTGTGTTTGGAAATAGCCATCATAGCTCCTATGAAACATATACAAACTGAAAGAAAATATCTTATAATAATTGATGCACTAGACGAATGTGATACACCGATTGGAAACGATCTATATGACTTACTAGCCAAAAAAATATCTGATTTTCCACCATTCTTTCAGTTCCTTTTTACATCTAGGAAAATAAGTAAAATACTTTATGAGTTCAAGACACTTCAAAATGTGCGGGAAATCGACTTGGAAAGTTTCGAAGAAAGGAATATTCTTGATGCACACCGATTAATTGAAATAACATCTAATTTAACAGACGAAAAGAAATTGCAACTTGTGAATCTGTCCAATGGGAATTTGCTTCATATAAATTCGTACCTTGATTACTGCAGAAGAAATATATCATGCGAGTTTTCAAAAGTTCCAAAAACACTAGAAAATATTTATCATTTTAATCTTGAACGGATTTTAGGGACGAATGGGACATCATTTGAAGAATGGAATGCCTTGTTTGAAGTTCTATGCGCTTCAGCAAACCCTATATATCTCGACGATTTATTCTTGATTGCAGGTTTAGACGATAATAAACGTAGAACATTTTCTATACTTCTAGGCAACGAATTCGGTCACTTCCTAAAGCATTATGACAATAAACTCTCTTTTCAACATAAATCATTCAAAGAGTTTCTAACAAACGAGTCCAGAAAACTTTTGTCATTTTATATAAATATTACAAAAGGACATACGTTGTTCACTAAGCATTTACTACACAAACCTACGTCCCAAAAGTTACTCAACGAAAAGGCTTTACTAGATATAGCGTCTCATGTTGCTTTGACATACAACATACAGTTTGCAAAAACATTTCTAAAGTTATTCAATAGAACACATTTAGAACATTATAGTCTTTTAATATATATGGCACGCGAGATTAATTGCTATGACACAGCAAATCTAGTTATTCAGCTGATTATTCAGTCCGGTTTAAGCAGTTCAAACATGTCAAATGCCGCTTTTATTGCATCTTCAAATGGAAATTTTAAAACATTGATATCATTTGATGAAAATAAAGTCAACTTCAAATCGAAGTATAATCTTGTTCTGGAGCATTCGATGAAAGGGGCTGACTTAGTATATATGTGTAAATTTGTGTTTTTCTGTGGGTACAATGTATTCCATATTGCAGCTCAACGAGGATATGTTGAAATAGTGGACTATTTACTGAACAAATATCCAGATATTCTTTATGAGCAAAACAGTATTCATTTAAATGCATTTCAACTTGCTGCAGAAAACGGACACACAAAACTAGTTAAACTATTTCTTGACATTGATTCGTCGCTTGCGGATCAGCATTCTTTATACTACGCGTCACAACAAGGACATGATGAAATTGTTTCACTCTTGCTTAACTACGTTGACGAAACATGTTTACCATGTAACGGGACTTTATATTGGCTTCCCACCTTATCATTCAGGAAACAGAATAATGTAACAATTCAAATTGAGGCTCTGGGAAAAAACTCAAATTACTTTCAGAATCTAGACTTATCACAATTAGGTAAAATGCTACATGACACAGAACATGCAGTGCTTTTGGACGACTGGCGGCTGATTACTTGTGAAAGTGCTTTAAACGCAGCTGTTAGGAATGGCCACTTAAGAATCGTAAAATCATTACTGGAAGAAGAAGTAAATACTTTACATTGTGAAATGTTTGATGGGAGTACACCATTAATGACAGCCGCGATGTATGACCAGACAGAAGTATTTAGATACTTACATGATTCCGGTGGAAATTTTGCTTTTCGTTGTAAGAGAAAATTTTTGTATGAAGACAAAATCGAAAAACCGGAGATGGATTTATTAAAGGAAAGGACATGCCCAGAAAGCGGAAGCATTTCACATTTGTTAGCAATTCACAACAGCTATGGTATTATAAAATATTTGCTAAAAAAAGGTTTTGAAGATTGGGAAACACGTGACAGCAAAGGACTAACACCTGCGCACTATGCATTTTGTTGCAATAGCAATAACTTTATAAAATTTGTAGTGTTTGCTGATAAAGACAAGGTGCACTTGAATCTAAACTCAAAGTCAGCTAATGGGTCTACCCCTTATCATTCAGCAGCAATCTGTAAATCACTTATTCTCACTCATTATGTTGATACGAGTGTAAGAACCCTTCCGGACAAAGTTGACAACAACAACCGCAGTATTTTACACTACGGACTGATGCAAACAGTAAGTCAGGAAGATGCAATACAAATTGATCGAGTCGGAAAAGATTATTTTTCCGATTTGTTGTTAAGAGTAACGCTTAACAATAAACATGACTATCTGAGAGTTGACGATGACGGAAGAAATGTTTTGCACTATGCAGCATCCAGTGGTAACTACTGGGTGTTTTTGAAGGTTTTGCAGGTCCTGAAGAAAGGTGACATTAACGTAATGTTATACTGTAAAGACAAAAGAGGATATACTCCACTCAAAGCAGCATTTGATTCGTTGACTCCCCGTCAAGCGTTTGAATCGCTTAAAATGCCATTGAACTGCAGTCTTAATGAACTATTTTCAACCACATGCAAGGCAAATTTGTCAGTTATTCTTTTACCCCATGAATATTTTATATTTACTGTCTCAAAATACCTGTCGTCTTCAAATTATTTCACCCCATTGAATGTAAAAGATTATTTGACTCTGGCTATAAACAAGTCGCGTATATATCCTATTTTAATTTTGAAGAGTTACACACCGAATGAATTTAACGCCATTGTATCAACCTCTACCGAAATACCAACTTTACTTGCCAAATCAGACATACAAATCATAGTTGAGCATATATTTAATGTTGATAATTCCTTGCGTTGCAACAAATCTGAAAGTCCACTGCACCAACTAGTGCTGAATGCAATGAACGGCCAGGATATTTTACCATTAACTTCATTTCTTATTCATTTGTTTAAAAAATTTTCCTCTCGGTATCTTGATCAATGTTATGACAAAGACGGATATAACTTATTACATAGAGCCACAATGGGAGGAAACATCGGAACAGTGAAACTTATGTTAAAAAAGGGAATGAATGTTTCTTGTCTATCAAAGAATGGCCGCAGTGTGCTTGAACTATGCATTTATTCTTCGCCTTTCTTGAAAAACGGGCACGTTCCCTCATATTATGTTAGCGGTCCAAGATTTCATGTCTTAGAATATGTTTTCCAATCAGAGACATTTAATATATCTTTTGACAGAACACAGACTATTGACTTTGACACTACCTCAGATTTATTGTTGAACAAAACGGCAGAGTCCTTAATGAAAAATAAACTTCAAAAGGATATATGTGACAGAAAAAATATTGGGTTATTGCATGTTGCAGCAGCTAAAGGTCTCTTGAAATTCATTAAACGTGTGCATTCAATTTTTGGAACACAAAGTATCCGTTGTAGAGATAGGTTCAATGTTTCATCGTATTATCTTGCGCTAATTTATGGACAAACAGACATTGTGAGATGGATAAAAACGCTACAAATGAAATATAAACCTCCTGCACAAATTGTTCAGAACATTCTTATATACAATTTAATTTCGAATTACTTAACACTATCACGGTATGACTGGACTTGTTTCCAGGATTATAATTTCAAATACCGTGCACTTTTAAGAAACCAAGCAGTCAAGTGCATTAGTCGTGTCCCATCAGAAAGGATACATTATATAAACATGCATAATGTAAGTACCATTGAAACCTGGTTCACAAGTATTTATTTCGACTTTATGGAGTCGAATGCAGTTGACAAGGATAGTGAAATCGTTAACATGATGGATATTTTCCAAAGGATTCATAAGAAAAATAAAGCTTTTGGGCAGTTATATTCTCTCTATCACCTTTCACAATTTTCAAATTTTATTCGGAGGCAACTGCTTCTTTTTAATATAGACGATGGAGAATATTTCTACCGTTATTTGCAGACTAGGGGGATGCAAACAAAAGAACCATTAAGTGATTATGAAATAAACGAACTTTATCAAGCAGTTATCAGCAGAAATTACCAACATTTTCAGAAACTACAAGTAAGGAAAGATTTACATAAAGAGTGGTTTCATGTTTTAATAACAGACAAAAATGAAACGAGTTTTCTTCGTTTTCACGAGTTTGTGGTTAAGCGCATAGAAATGAATATGAAACGGTTCGAAAATATTGTTCGAGATGGAAAGCTGCGCTTTCTGGAACGTGTAAAGGCAATGGATGTAGCGCTGCCTATGAATCAAGATGAAGCATGTTTTCTAATATTTCAAAGTCTTCAAAATATTCTATCTGAAGATGATAATTTATGGCAGTCACAGTTACAAATTCTGTTTCGAGACTTAACTCAAGAGGATGTTGTTTTCTATGTTGAACGCCTTTTCAAAACGGTCGTTTTTCGGGGTGATAATATGTTTACAAAGAAAGCGAAAGGATTCAATTTATCAATTGACAAAGCACTTCAGAACACAAAGTTGAATAAGAAAGACTATCTTTTCAGAAGTTTTAAATTTGTTCTAATTGAAACTCGTAAACTATATTCCAAATATTTTGAAAAAGGCGTAGACTTGACCGTTGTTTTGTGATTTATCCAAATCACATTGATAATTTGATAAATATTTAATTTGTATTTCTTACATACATTTAGTTACTATAGTCTTACAAAATAATTATTCGTTTTACATATTAAAGGTCTTCAACCAATATATCATACTCTTTGTTTGAATGAAAAACAATCGTAATAAACTTAAGATCATCCACTGAAAGCACGGGTATCAACTACACTTCGAAAATATATTTGTGAAAACAGAGTACTGCGGCATTACCAATGTTGTGTGTGGTTGATTAAAACCAAGGACGTGATACGTGTTACATGTGGCTTGTTTCTTAATTCTTAATATCGTGTGATTATTTGTGCATATATATATAGTATCAATAAAAAGATGGTGGGTAAAAGTAAACGGTTAGCAAACTGTATAGATCTTTCCCGTTACAAATGAGAAAACTTTTATGTATTTCTTATTTTTATCAATGTCTTTACCATTGCCCATTATACACCTTTCTGTATTTCATATGACAAATGTAAGATTATTTTTATATTGATTAGCTCATCTGACCCTTGGTGGCCATGTGAATTATTGGCATCACCTGGCGTCCCTCATCATCGTCATCGTCGACGTTAACTATTTTTAAAAACCTTCTCCCTTGATACCACTGCGCAAATCTTGGCCAAACTTGTCAGCAATCATCTTTAAGATTTGTGTCAGTAATGCCCAGTGCAAAACAATAGCAGTAAAATGGAAGTAATTGTTTAAAATCTTGTAAAAGCATTATAGATATAGATACATGTATCTGACAGGGCAAAAATTATCAGAATGTCAAGCTATATCTACCATTTAGACCAAAACTGTCAGATCTCCTTTTAGGAGTTATTGCCCATAAATGGTGTTTTTTGTTTATTATATTGATAGCTGCCATAGACGAACAGAACCTGTATACAGCACAAATGTTCGGCAAGACTAGATCTGCAAATAAATCATTATGACTGTAATCGTGAAACAACTCCTTATAGGACTAATTGCACCCTAAGTCACGATTTTCCCCCATTTTTTGCCTAAAACGTTGAAAATTATAATAGATAGACAGAAATTGATAACAGTAAAATAACCAGCTACAATAAGTCAAGTGGGTGAATTGTCGTCAATATAGCCCTCATAGAGTTATTGTCCTCAAAGCACGAGTGTTTACCAATTTTAGAATTTGACCTCACATCTTGAAAACTATCATAAATAAAGAGAAACTGAAAAGGCAAAAATTATCAGCAATACAACAGATATATAATAGTCAAATCACTGAAAGTGTTAACCGACTTGTTATAAGAGATACATTGTACTGCCCTTAAATGAGTGTTTTCAACCAAAAAATCAAATGATTGAAATCGTTAATTGACCCCTTGAAAGGAGTTGGTGTCCTATAATGACAATTCTTTCTATTTTTTTGTTTTTGGCTATTCTCTTGAAAACAGTTATAGATTAATAGAAACTGTAAATGCAAAAATAATCAGAATGATAAGATCTACAAAAGTCATAAAACAGAAATCTTCAATTGACAGTAAGTGCCCTTTTTGAAAGTTTGGTCTATTGTCTTGAAAATTATAAAAGTTAGATAAAAACTTGACAAGTAATAACGAACAGAAAGACAAGATCTAAAAAAGTCTTAGATTCATATTTTTTTTTCATTAGTTGTTATAGGCTTTGAAGAAATTTCAGTAACTGCGAGTACTCTCAGATATGTACTTTAATGTGCCTATCGTGTTTTTAGTTTTTTGTGCTTAGTGTCGATCTGATGATTTAAGCTCTTTTCAACTGTTTTTTTCTAAGTTTGTTCTTATGTTGTACTGTTGCACCACTGTCCCAGGTTAGGGGAAGAGTTTGGCGCCAACAAACATGTTTAATACCGTAACATTCTGTATGTTCCTATCCAAAGTCAGGAGCCTGTAATTCAGTAGTTGTCGTTCGTTGCTGTATAACAAATTTGTTTTTAGTTTATTTTTTTGTACATAAACCATGCCGTTAGATTTCTCTCCTGAATAGTTTTACATTTGTCATTTCAGTGCCTTTTATAGCTGACTATGCGATATGGGTTTTGCTCATTGTTGAATGCCTTACGGTGACTTATAATTGGTAACTTCTATGCCATTTGAACTCTGGTGGAGGGTTGTCTCATCGGCAATCATACCAGATCTTCTTATTTTTATAATGACTGCAATGTCATTTGACTCCTCAAAAAGTTCTTTCTCTTAATTGACAAATTCTATTCATTTAACAATTCTAGCTATTATCTTGAAAGTATAGCAGATTTAAAAAATTTAAACAGCAAAACTATTTATAAAATGGTCAAACATAAGTTCCATAGGACTAGTTGAGCAAGTGAGGCTCTTTGGGGCGTTAAAGTTCTACCTTCGCCACTTTTTCAAATCCTTCTACAAAAAGACCGCAACATTTCCACATGATTTTCGGCATCAAATTTCGGGCATCCTGATGTACTGTACCAACACTGTGACAAGTTATGGAGAGGGTTGAGCGCTCACATACATTTCGAACCCATCACATTCTTTTAAGAGCCTCTCCATAGCGAGGAGTGTATAATCCGGTGGTTGTCGTTGGTTGCTTTATGCCATACTTTTATTATTTTTTTAAGTGTAAATCAGTTTTAAAACAGTCATAGCGATAAAGTAATATTGAGAAATGTTTGGATCATCAAGCCACAACTTTGTAATATTATGACCGAAAAGCTTAGGCACCCTATGTAAGGGAGATAATCCTTATCGACGGTTCCAGAAATGTCTCAAGTTGCTTCTGGCTCTTTATGGAACATATGAGTTCAACTACTGTTTAAATGTATTGTTAACTCTAGTTTGCTGTGTAATGCTTTGTAAACAGTTGTTTGTCTTTTCTTTTAGACCATGACATTTTCTGTTTTAATATATATTGAGATTTCTGATTTTCAATTCTATAGTTTAAACAAAGGTCCCAGAATTTTCTCTTACAAGACGAGCGACTGAAAATTTTTGCATAGTTTTTTTTCCTGTTTTCTTAACACCTATTGAATAAATTTGTTTCTTATATATTTTTTTGTCTCATATTTCTTTATTAATCGACTATTCCGTCTTGTTTGTATTTTCACGGTAGGTATAGTACTCTTTTCGTAGGTATATAAGGTTTATTCATGATTGTTAAACTTACATTTAATGATTCACCAGTTTTCATCACAAATGATGCATAGTTTTCTTCTTTTTCACTTAGAATACAGCATTTTACATCGTCTAGATTTTATCGCGTGCTACAGGCTTTGTTTCAAAACTGCATAGTCCAGATTTTCAAAGAAAAAATGAGCAAGAAAGAAGGAATTTGGGACCTTTGAAATTAACTTTTTCACTTTATTACTGCAATTATGGAAAGACGATAACAATTAGTCACAAAAAGACAAAACAAATTCATATAACTACGTTGATCAATTTTAACCTTACTTTAATTCTGTTTTGAATGCATTTGATCATAACTTCAAATTATCATGTAACCATAACGGTAAGTAGTGTTTACTTCATGCTTGCTTATTTGGTCTGTAGTGTTTTGAGTATCTTGTCTATGATTATTTGTCTCACACTAATAGTTCAAATTCAAGAGAACATAAATTATAAATATAATATACAATACGATAAATAACATGTGTTGCTAATTTTTAAAGGGAAAATAATAGTAAAACTTTCGCGCATTAAAAAAACCATGCGTAGCAAGAGATGGAAAGGAATAGTTAATCTGCATAAATTCCTCCTGCACACACCCCTCCACCCTTCTGCGAATATTTAATGGTTGTCTTCTATGGCGTTCATGTGGGAATTTTACTAACAAGGAGCAAGAGGGAAGGGCACTTACTATGTGATGACTGGTAGGAAAGAGCCGATGGAATAAGTATATATTCTAAGCTTTATATTGCATGGTAAGGTCGAGAAATTCAAATGAAATATCTGAAAAGTTTGTTGGTTAAATCATAAGTTTCTAAAATTAATCAGGTTGTAGATTTTTTCAGCGATGTGATTAAAACCTCAGTCGTAAATGCATCGGGATCAGATATTTGTCAAATCTGATTATCGCTTCAAAAAATTGCGTAATCATGAGCATCATGTTAGAAATATATGAGAGACTGGGTGGCGTTTAAAGATTGTCTTTTTCATCTATATTTGTTTTTTATGAATTTCCCTATATCATGAGCAATTTTGAAGTGGTTTTCAAAAACTTAATTTTCATGGGCCAAATATGGACATTAATGCCACATTCTTCTTTATTGTGTTTATATGGTCATAATTTTGTTTTCATGTGTAGTTATAATCATGCTTGCCTGATACGACATAGTTACAAAAGAGCAAATAAGACGTTCTTATCTGACACTTTTATGGTTAAGAGCTAACTACTGTAAAAACATTCAAAAAGTTAACCTTTGCCAGATTTTCCTCAATGGTTCCACTAGTGAAGTAGGGTCTGTTTATCTTTCAGGACTAACTGAGTTCATTTCTGATATTTTTGGGGGTTCATGTTGCACTATTGTAGTGTCATGTATGGTTGTTTTGTCAATTCTTCAGATTTTTCTTGTTTTGACCATGTTGGTATCCGTTTTTGTTAAATTGTGGTTTTTGGTTGTCCCATAGATATGCTTTCTCATTTATCCAATATTTTTGTTCATAGGTCACAATTTTTAAATGAATGGCAATAAAGCTACCACAACAGTAACCCTGCAATAATATTTCTGTCTGTTAACATCTATTAGTCAAATCAAAGTTAATGCCAAAATGTGTATAGTTTTAAAGGTTTCTTCTACTGTGTTTGAAGGGACTCTGGAATTTCCCCCACGTGTCGTGCAAAACATGCGTAAATTTGCAGTTTTTAAATTGTCGAAATATATGAACTATCTACTGATTCAGAATGTTAACTAAAACTCTTATTTTCACATGCTAATTTGACCCCGCAGTCACTAAACACTTCATAGTCATTTTGATATGCTAAATAGTCCATAAAGCCACTTCTTGACGCTGCAAAGCTTATTAGTCCATGAAGCCACTTTCAAATGCTGATTATACCTTACGTCCTCCTTTAAATTCTTATAAGTCCTTGCAGTAACTTTAAGATGAAGACAAACCTTTTAACCTACTTAAAAAATTATTATTTTTGACGTTTTACCTTTTATGTCTGTTTGTTTTGCTCACACATTGTTGTCAATAAAAAGGAAATCTATGCGACTGTCTTACAAGTGAGATGTATAGCTAGCTATAAAACCAGGTTTAATCCACCATTTTCTACATAAGGAAATGCCTGTACCAAGTCAGGAATATGACAGTTGTTTTCCATTCGTTAGATGTTTTTGAGCTTTTGATTTTGCCATTTTATAAAGGACTTTCCGTTTTGAATTTCCCTTGGAGTTCGGTATTTTTGTTACTTTACTTTTTAAAAGTCACTGGAGCCAGTTTCAAGATGACTTAACTTGGTTTTTGTAGTTTTGGGCTTACTGTGTCACCGATGTTAACCCTATGTCTGTTTTTGTTTTACATTTAATGTAGATGAGTGCTTTTATTTTTTTCTTTATATTATTGAATCAAGATTTGTTTTGGTTTCTATTATGCTTTTTTAAACGCTTCGGGTGTTATCCGACTGTTCGGGCTAAAAAGTCTGGCACAAATACTCAAACAACTCAGGTATACCCAAGAATTTAGTCAGTTGTCTTTTTTCCCTTTCTTTTTGTCCTGTAGTGTCCTTTTATAAAATACGTATGCCTTAGAGGTCATTTTTAATGGCCTTTAAAATCGCGTCGCTTTTTATATCTATTATTTTTGTTACTATGAGTACATTGTTATTTGGGGGTTAAACCATAATATTTTAGTTAATGCGGATTTTACCTAAAACTAGAAGTATTTTGCTTTTTGGGTCATTGGGTTGCTTTCTTATTGGAGTATTCTAGCGTGTTATTTCAAATAAAAGACTTGTGGTTTTATTGTTATTTATATATAAATCATGTACATTTAAGTAACTGTAACGTCAAAATCAATTTTTAGAATAATCAAAAATCCAACTACGTCAGTACTTTGTGGTTTGCTCCTGGCAAGGATACATTTAACAATGAACATACCACCAGAGGAGGAGGTGCAAGTTCTGTGATTTCATCTATACTGTAGAATACAGGCTGCCAGAAACCAAGACAAAAACTAATATGGGTTGACCTTATATATAATGATAATGAAAAATAATAATGCACTTTCCGTAATAACAATTAAAATTTCTCCTTTAAAAAAATAACATCAAAATTAAACGGATACACTGATTTGTTACACAAATGCACATCGGTAGCTCGGTTTATGGTGACATAAGTCTGCAGGTTTCATTTTGTACAACTTGTTGAATTGCAAATTGGTGCGCTGTTAATCATTTAAGGCATTTTGTGAAGATACTCTGTTCTCAGATAGAAGATCAACATGTAGCTTTTGAACATAAAGTTTACTCTTCTTGAAATTGTAACAAAGAAAAAAGGCGAATTTCATATATGTACTTGTTTCATCCATGGGGTCAAATAAAAAAGTTGTTAGAATTAATTGGAATTTAGAGTCTATATGAACATTAAAGTCTATACTTGAAGTAACCATCGATGAATTGCTATAGAAGTTGAATACACCAGAGTAATGTTTTAAATTTCAGTTTAAATGAATATACTAGTATATAAAATATTCTCCTGATTCAAACAACCATCGTTAGTATTTATCAAAGACCTTCGAATTATATTTTCCACTCGGCTATAATATTTGAAAAACTGGGAACTTTAGAAGTATGTATTAAATCCGAAATCGAAGGTATTGACGGAGAGGAAATCTGAAATCATTTTATTTTCAGAATTATTCTCAAACTAACCCAACAATGAATAATCATTAGGGAGGATAGCAAACTACAGTTTGCATACTACCTTTAGAATATAAGAATAAGGAGATGCTGTGTGATTGGCTATGAGACAATTATCCACCAAAGTTCAAAAGTGGATGTTAGCATTTATATTCAACCGTACGGCCTTCAACAATGAGAAAACCCAAACCGTATAGTCAGCGATAAAAGGCCCCGACATGAAAAATATGAAACAATTCAAATGAGAAAACTAACGGCATAATTTATACAAATATGACAGAAATGAACCAAAGACAACCACTGAACTACAGGCTCCTGACTTTTGACAGGCACCTATAGAATGTGGAAGGGTTAAACATGTTTGAAGGCTCCAACCCTCCCCTTACCTGGGACAGTGATATAACAATACAACATAAGAATAAACTATAAAAATCAGTTTAAAAGGGCTTCACTCATCAGATCGATACAAAGCAGAAAAACATCTAACAAAAACACAGACCGGACATGGCAGGGTAGTTATACATCCCTAAAAACAAAAAAGACACAAAGTGCAGATCTGAGAGAACTAGTATTACAATTTGATCTAGAAGACCATATTGGTTTGAACTTGAAGACGGAAAAACAACACACAAAAACAAGTCTCCACATTTAGCATTTGTTTTCCGGATTATTTCTCAACTAACCCAAAATGAATGACATACTATTTTAGAGTAGAGAGCCATATTGATTGATTTAATCTGTGACAGGGGAATTCGAAGCGACACAAAAAAAAACAAAAAACAACAGGTCTCCTCATTTAGTATTATAATTTTATCCGGAAGACGGAGAGGCGACACAAAATAAACAGGTCTCCAAATTGGCCTTAAATAAAATAATTCAGAAGAAATTGGTCATGTCCCTTGCGAAACAGGTTAAAGACATAAGGCCACAGTGTAATAGTAATATTATGAATACCCTTATAAGTAAATCTGGAATTATACCATTTACATAGGCTTGTTAAAAATTTTCAACTTCAAAGTATCAAGAGTACTTGATAACAAACTTGATCGTTTTGATAACAGCAATACACGCCCATTATGTAACTATATAAAAACGAAAATACAGTGACTTAATAATTAAAGCAAATGCTGCAATTTTTTCAAAGTACGTTTTGAATTTTTATCCAGCCACATGTAGATTAGGCCCCGCATGGGGTGTCCAAGTACTCACATAATCACAAATTTTTTGCCAATATAATCACATAATCATTAATTATTTTTTAAAACAAGATAATCAGATAATCAAAAATACAGTCCTAGAGTATCAAATAATCAAATAATCATGAAATATTTGGTCTGGTAATCAAATAATCACAATAAAAACGGCCAAGTAATCACATAATCAAAAACCCCATGAGGAGGCTCGTAGATCAACGAACGCGAACGACCAGTTTGTCTCAGTATAGTTTTACAAATGTATATATATCTGAACAATTTAGTCATAATCAGCTATTTAATCTAAATGATATGTATAACTGAACTAGTGATACATTTAATAATGAAAAGTCCCACATACGTAAATGTATGTACGTCACACTAATTTGCTACCAGCAATATAATTTAATGCGTATCATTTTTAGAGGTTTTTATACCGCTCTAGTTGACTCTGGATATGCAAGTGAAGGTATGATGTTACAGTTAACAGTATTATTTTAGTATTATTCATTTAACTTTTATTTTTATTTATTTAAAATCCGAGAACTACGTTTGGGTTGGTATTTGCATGTAACACTTACAATACAGCGGGTTGCAGACAAGGAAAAGCATTTCTAAAACCCGTCTGAAAAAAATACCTATATACCTTAATATAACACTAAGGTATATAGGAAAAAATTTTCAGAGACAAGTGACTGTGCTAAAACCCCTGTGTTGTACCTCACTACATAACTGATTAATCTAAAGAAAACATAACGATTACCTGTGTTATTGATCTAGTTTTTTTTCGCAGGAGAAATTATTTGAACAGCCACATTGAAAAGTAGATACGGTTGAACATACACACGTGTAATAGACAAGGTAAGGACTGTACACAACATAATATATAAACAGAATTGTCGAACTTTGAACTGTTAAAAGTTGATTTGTGTAATGTTTGTAGACTTTACGGAACATTGCAAGGTCATCATAAAATACAGCGTCCACATGCAGTACATTGTATGTACAGATTTTTAATTGATCTTAATTACCACTTTCGTGTTGAGAAACGTTCACGTTTATTGTTATATAGCTTTCGGTTCGACTTATTCGTATGACAAGCCGTTATGGAATCGTTGTTTTATATCATAACATAACTTACTTCCGCATCTCCAGATCAAAAAGCATTTATAATCATTTAGGTCAGTATCAGAGTGAGTGTTTAGAGGGGTGGGATTCTCATTTGTTCGATTTTTAATCAAATAATAAACAACAAAACTTAGACTTGAACAGGGAAAATCAAGATAGAATCACCTAGAATTAGCAAAGAAGGGTCAAATAATGTACATATGAATATGAAATTGTTTTTACTGTATATATATATATATACATGATATAGTTAGGGAACAACCTTTTAAATTCAAGGGGGGGGGGGGGGGGGGGGGGGGGGGGGTATGGTTTTTTGTCTGAGTCAGAAAATTCTTTATAACTATAAGGTGTGGGAAAAATCTGGAGTCAGAATTTTTTTTTTGTCATCTGCTTGACCACAATATTTTTTTTTCATCAAATTGGGGATCATAATATTGTTTTAGGAAAAAACCATAACACCCCCATGCCATGTTTGGTTTCATTCCATTCAGTGGTTCTCTAGAAGAAAACATTTGTATGTATTTCCCATAGGGTCCTATGTTAAACTAAGTCCCCGCTGGCGGCCATCTTGGATGATTGATCGCCGACAAAGTTACAACACTTGGTCAGCACCTCATAAGGAACATTCATGCCATGTATTATTTCATTCCATTTAGTGGTTCTCTAAAAGAAGACATTTGCATGTATTTCCAATAGGGTCCTATGTTAAACATACAAAAATATAACATATAAACATTATATGAATGAAAATATACACAGAAATACAATAACAAAACCATAGGAAAACATATCCCATAAAACATATACAAGTAAAAAGCAAATCAATCTATTGATATATGTATACAAATAAATCAAGAGTCCCCTGTCCTCAGTTCTAATGCCTGTTTAAAAAAGGACCCTAAGCCTTCTACTTCTTTTGGGGTTGATGGGCAAAGTCAAAATCGGATGAAATAGTCGATTTATTTTGAAAATGATGAAATTTTATAATCGATTTATTGAACCAATAGGTTTTTTTGTTAATCATGTTAATACATTTCTCCCATTTTAATCTGAACGAAGGATTTGTATAGTAGACATATTAACCATCAAATATGATAGAGGTACGCGTATAGTAACTGTTGCATTTATGAGGAAGTTAAATCCAATGCATCGTGTAGCGGAAGTGCAACGCCCTCTACACGCAAAGAACCAGTCAATTAACCCTTTGATGCCCTGTTGGGAGGCAAAATTCCTGCCCATATCAAAAATATTTCATTTTCCATTTGCAGTTGAAATTCCCGCCCTTTATTGCAATCGACCATTTAAAAAAAAAAATGTTTGCTTTTTGGATTAAATGGTAGTGTGTTTCCATCCTGAATATGCATGAATATTTGCCACTTGACGAAAGGCTAAAAACAATCAATCAACTTTGGGATATATGAGTTTATGCTTTTTTTAGCATTCTAATGAACATCATATATTGCAAATGTCACCATAATCTTAGTAAAGTAATGATGAACTAGCGGGATCTATCGGAAATAGGTAAAATGTAACTATACAATGGTAGATTGGAATACATTGTCGCTAGCTAAAGCCACTGGATATGACCCGTTCCTCTCCAATCCATAAAAGGAGGGGAGAGGAGGGGACCGGATGGTAACCTAGGTTAGCGAAGACTGGAAAGAAAGCGACCGGGTCGTAACCAATGACTGACAAAGATGATCATTGATATAGTAGTGAAAATACAAATGTACAATTATTGTTAGCCTAGTAATATAAGAATAAGGAAGTGTGGTATGGTTGCAATTGAGACAGCTATCCATAAAAGACCAAATGTCAATGATGTGAACATTTCCGGGTCACTGTACGCCTTCAACGTTGAGCAAACCCAATACCGTATAGTAAGCTGTAGAAGGCCCCGATATGTCAATAATGTGAAAACGATTCAAAAGGGAAAACCAACTGGCCTAATTTATACTACAAACAATGAACAAGAAACAAATATGAGAGACAGCATAAGAACTTACTTCCCACTTAGTTCCAGTCTTGCATTTTTCACATAATATTTTGCAGCCGTACAGAACAATTTATTTCAATAAAAAGTGATTTGGGGTATCTGTCAATGAGACAGCAATCAAGCGATACAAATAATCACAAGACATCTAGAGGTCAACACACTGTCTATATTAATTCAGCTCTTACAACTAAACTGTGTCTAAACCAGTTTACAGATACTGCTAAAGATCTGCAATCAAAACTGATTCCCCCAAATGACAAACAAAATAGAAAAAAGACAATGACAGAGGTTCTTATAGAGAATGTAATTTCTGCTACGTTTTCCATAATGTTTGAAGGTCTTTGAAGAGCAATCACGTGTTTTCTAAAAGATCTGAACAGAACAGCCACAACCGTTATCAAACAACTTTGCCTAGTAGAGTTGCAACCTATTAGAATAAGACATTTCTTAACTAAATTATTATCTATAAATTAAATTAGTCAATGATAGTATGTTACATAGTTTATATTTGTTTATTTTCAGTCCCCACATGGCGTCTAACACCTTCTGTGGACCTTGCAGCAGAAAGGAGGCTTCGTCTACTGCATTGTCCTGGTGTAGCGATTGTGAAGAACCGTTATGCAAAGAATGTGTTGATGCTCATCGGGTTATAAAGGTGTCGTCTGCGCATCACGTGGTTGACTTGGAACATGCGTTGTCTGTTCCTGGAGCTATAACTACCTCTCAGCAATATTGCGATAATCATACAGATCTCTTTCTTGATTTGTTTTGTACGTATCACGATGCTTTATGTTGCCGAGCATGTATGACAGAATACCATAGAAACTGTGAAACAATATTACCCATTGATATTGCGTCGAAAGACATCAAAGATTCGACGCTGCTGTCTGACTTAAGCGAAGAGTTGGATAATATTATCGCTTCGTCTAGACAGATTGCAGACGTTCGCAAGAAACATAGCGATGGTATTTTAGAACAAGAAAACACACTCAAGCAAACAATCAGGAAAGCCAAGGATAATGTGATCGCATATGTAGAGAAGTTAGAACGTTCACTGTTGAACGACCTGAAAGAAAGGAAGGATGCGCAGCAGGCAGAACTACAAGCTGAAAAGGAATCTATGTTGAATATGGAGAAAGAAGCAGAAGAACTTCAACGGCAGATTTCTTATACGACAACTAATGGCTCTAAAAAGCAGGTTTTCTTACTACTTCATAAAGTAAAGACTGGCATTGCAAACATGGATCAACGGATAGAAAAGACAATACGAACAATGCACAAACCAATATTACAGTTCAAAGAATCTAATAGTGGCTTTACCTTAAGGGAACAATTGGGAAATATACAATTAAGAAACGATACGTGTTCAATCACATATAATTCACCAAAACTCAGATTTGCACAAGTCTTGCCAGATCCAAGTAACACTTTTAGCACCTTAGAATTCGAAAACAAATTCGATGTTGATACTAGTCCTCAAATGCAAATAACCGGTATGACAGCAACAACGGGTGGGAAATTGCTATTGTGCAATTACAGAAATAATAGCATTTTAGAGTATGACTTGAGTGGGACATTCAGTTCAAGTTGCCCATTATTCGGTGCTCCTTGGGACATTACCATAGTTCCAGATGAAAAAGCACATGCCGTCACTACTATGCCGAAGAGTAGTTCTATTCGTTTTATTAACACCGAAAATCTGAAACCTGGAAAAGCTGTTGAGCTACCGGGAGTCTGTTACGGAATAGTGACATCTAAAGACAAGATTTTGGTCGGTGGCATGAATGAGTTTTATATTTTGACAACAGAGGGTACTCATTTAAGCACCGTAAAAGTTAAGAAACCAACAAGAATGTGGTACATGAATGTAGTGAACGACAATCTAATTTACTCAGATCAGAACAAAGTATTCTGTGTTAATCTTGAGGGACAGGAAATATTTGTTTATAGTTCACCCGGTCTTTCTAGACCAATGGCAATTGCCATGGACCATAAGGGTAACGTATATATACCCGGATGTAACTCCAACAATATTCATCGCATAAGTGCAAGCGGTTCGTACGTGGATACTGTTCTTGGAAAAATAGATAAAATTTCGCATCCTTGGGCCATGTGCTTTGACCACAACTCAGGAAAACTAGTGTTTGCTAACGACGACGGCAAAACAATTTGTGTCTTTAAGTGCAAATAAAACATACTTTTAATGGATACTGTTCCTTAATATGAAATGCATTTATGACTTATGAAGTCAAAAAAAAACTATAAAAGTTTTATTGTTTTGCATTTATGGTAATTCTGTCTAATTTGTGATGAACACTGTTGCCTATGATTTCAAGAACACAAAGTGAGGTGCGAGCAACATAATTGTTTAATATACTTTTCTGAAAAAAATTCTTAAAAGATACGAATAGTGGACATTATACTAAATTAATATTTTAAAATGCAAATTTGTAATCAGCAGTTTAAATCTTTTACATATTAGTAGTAACTTGAGCGCGTAATTACTTTTGAAATTTCAGTTATCTTTCATTTAAAAACATAAACGACCAATGTTATCGGAAAAAAGACGTTTTAGAAAAAATGAGAGACAGAAAATAACAAAGGGGTAATAAAGAAATCCTTACAAAGAAAACAAGCTAACATGGCAAAAAATACAACAACTAGTCTGCAAATCAATACACAGAAAAACACAAACCCGACAAAAACCGGGCTATCTCAGGTTCACCAGGTGGGTAGATATGTCGCAATTAGGAAAAGATGGACGAGATTGTGGCTACGACCCTTTGCCATAACAAACTTTCATTTTTAGCTCACCTGGCCCATAGGGCCTAGTGAGCTTTTCTCATCACTTGGCGTGCGTCGTCGTCGTCCGTTAACTTGTATAAAAATCTTCTCCTCTGAAACTACAGGACCAAATTTAACCAAACTTGACCACAATCATCATTGGGGTAGGCTAGTTTAAAAAATGTGTCTGATGACCCCGCCTGCCAACCAAGAAGGCCGACATGGCTATTTTTTTTTGAAAACCGTTATAAATAGAGAAAATCTGACAGTGCAAAAATGTTCAGAATGTTGAGCTCTACCGATTGTTTATTGACGTCAAAACTGTCAGGCGACTTCTTATAAGTTATTGCCCTGAAATGACAAATTTTACCATTTTTTTCATGTTTGCCTTTTATCTTGAAAAAAATAATAGATTGAGAGAAACTTTAAGTAGCACAAATGATCAGCAAGACAAGATCTGCAAATAAGTCAACATGGCCGAAATTGTCACACAACTCCTTATTGGAGTTATTGCCCTTTAATGACGATTTTTTGTGTGTTTTTCCTTATATCTTAAAATTATTATAGATAGATAGAAACTTAAATAAGCAAACATGCAAGACAAGATCTACAATTAAGACAATATGGAGGAAATTTTCCGACGACTCCTTATCGGAGTTATTGCCCTTTAATGACAATTTTTGCCATTTTTTGCGTTTTGCCTTATATGATAAAATTATAACAGATAAATAAAAACTTTAAATAACAAAAATGATCAGCAAGGCAAGATCCACAAACAAGTAAATTTTGCCGATAAAGTTAGTAGTCTGTCACTCTTCATAGGAGTGATTGCCCTTAAATGAGGTGTTTTTTTACCCGCTTTTGTGTTTTGAGCAAAAAAAAAAAAAACAGAATATAGAGATGAAACTAAACAGACAAAATGATCAGCAATACAAGAAATTTTTGTCATGAATTCTATTCTTGTCTACAATGTTAGAGAGAGTCCATATTTGACTATGCACATATACATAGGTGAGCGACACATGCTCTTTAGATCCTCTAGTTAGGGTGCGACATTCCTCTTTTCGCAACACTTTGCGTGTACTTTTCACAACTCGTACGGTTTGCTAGAATTTGTTCAAATGAAGACAACTTTAACCAGCGTAACCTTGCATTAACATAAAAGTTACTTTTGCAAGGTTACAGATACAACAGACGTTTGAATACTTATATCAGCATCTTATCTGTAAATATAATGTTTCTCGTAAAAAATGATATTAAACGGCATTCTCATCCTCCCTTTCATTGTAAATTTGTTAATAAGACTACACATTGAGAGTGTATAACGTGCTCATTTTTCATACACATTCCATATTTATTTCGTTATATTTTATGCAAAAACTAGTAAGTGACGGGATGCAATTATTGTAACATGCAAAGAAAATTGGGTCATGAATTTTAAGGTAAAGTAGTGATTTGATCCAGTTGAAAAAGGTTAAAAATTAGTATATCTGAAGCTGTCAAACTGATTGATAGACCCCTTAATAAAACATTGTCCATATTTTGAGTTAAAGCTGGTAGACTTTTCAATAATGTTGATATAATTTGTCTCAACAGTAGTATACAACACTAAAATCTTTTTGAGATAAAGCCGGTCCGATTTTTATACGACCGCAAACAAATTTTTGTGGTCGTATATTGGTATGACGTTGGCGTCGGCGTCGTCGTCGTCGTCGTCGTCCGGCGTCATCGTCGTCGTCCGAAGACACATTAGTTTTCGCACTCTAACTTTAGTTTAAGTGTATGGATCTCTCTGACATTGTACCACAAGGTTCTATATCACAAAGGGAATGCTGGGATTGATTTTGGGGGTAATTGCCTCAAAATTTTAGGAATTAGGGGCCAAAAAGGGGCAAAAAAAAACAAGCATTTTTCTAGTTTCATGACAATAACTTGTGTGTAAGTGTATGGATCTTTATGAAATTGTACTACAAGATTCCATATCACAAAGGGAAAGCTGGAATTGAGTTTGGGGGTAATTGCCCTAAACGTTTAGGAATTTGGGGCCAAAAAAGGGCCAACAATAAGCATTTTTCTAGTTTCCAGACAATAACTTGTGTTCAAGTGTATGGATCTCTCTGAAATTGTACTGCAAGGTACCATACCACAAAGGAAAGGCTGGGATTGATTTAGGGGGTAATTCCCTCAAAATTTTAGTAATTAGGGGCCATAAAAGGGCAAAAAACAAGCATTTTTCTAGTTTCAGGACAATAACTTGTGTGTAAGTGTATGGATCTTTATGAAATTGTACTGTAAGGTTCCATATCACAAAGGGAAAGCTGGGTTTAAGTTTGGGGGTAATTGCCCTAAACGTTTAGGAATTTGGGGCTAAACAGAGGCCAAAAAACAAGCATTTTTCTAGTTTCCAGACAATAACTTGTGTTCAAGTGAATGGATCTCTCTGAAATTGTACTACAAGGTTCCATACCACAAAGGGAAAGCTGGGATTGAGTTTGGGGGTGATGAATCATATGGGGGTTCAAACAATTTGGGGGGGATCTTTTTTTCCTTTTTTTTTTCTTTAAAATTTTCCATTTTAAATTGGTTATTTCTGATTTATATATAAAAGCAAATAATAATGATATGGTTTGAATTGGTAAATTAAAAAATTTTAAGTTCTTAGACCACTTTCATTCTGTGTCAGAAACCTATGCTGTGTCAAATATTTAATTACAATCCAAATTCAGTGCTGTATCAAGCTTGAATGTTGTGTCCATACTTGCCCCAACTGTTCAGGGTTCGACCTCTGCGGTCGTATCAAGCTGCGCCCCAGCGGAGCATTTTATTTTATTTTTCGTTAATTGTCTAAAAGAAATACAGTACGAAATAACTGTGTTCTCGAACCAGTAATTCTTTTCAAAACTTCATTGAATTTACATCAGCTTCTTTATAAAATCAAGAGATACCATTTAGAGTAAAATGTTAGTTTTTTTTTCATTTTTTGTACAGTTGTAGTTACCCGTTTTTATCTCATCTAGCCGAAAGGCGAAGTGAGCTTTTCTCATCACTTGGCGTCCGTCGTTAACTTTTACAAACAAATTCTCATCTGAAACTACTGGGCCAACTTGGTCAAACTTGGCCACACCCATTATTGGGGTATGTAGTTTTAAAAAATGTGTTCGATGACCTCGCCTGCCAACCAACATGGCCGACATGTCCAAAAATATAAAACGGGGTAAAATGCAAGTTTTGTCTATTATCTTGAAAACTGCTATGAATAGAGAAAATCTGACAGGAGCAGAAATGTTCGGAATGTTGAGATCTACCTGCTGTCAAAACTCTCAGACCACTTCGTATAGGAGTTATTGTCCTTTAATGTCAAATTTTATCCATTTTTTTCATTTTTGCCTATTATTTTGAAAACTGTAATAGATAGAAACTTTGATTATACAACAATGATCAGCAAGACACGATCTACAAATAAGTCAACATGGCCTAAATTGTCACACGACTCCTTATTGGAGTTATTGCCCTTCAATGAAGATTTTTACGATTTTTTTGTGTTTTTGCCTAATTATCTTAAAATCTATTATAATAGAAAGATAGAAACTTTAAAAGCCAAAATGATCAGTAAGTCAAGATCTACAAATAAGTTGGCACGAAAGAAATCGTAAGTCGACTCCTTATTGGAGTTATTGCCCTTTAATGACGACTTTTCCATATTTTTTGCATTTTTGCCTATTATTGTGAAAAATAGATAGAAACCTTTACTACCCTAAATGATCAGCAGGACAATATCTACAAATAAGTCAACATTGCCGAAACCGCCAGACAACTCCTTATTGTAGTTATTGGCCTTTTAATGACGAGATTTACCATTTTTGTTCCGTTTATGCCTAACAGCTATAATAGAAAGATAAAATTTTTAAAAAGCCAAAAATATCAACAAGTTAAGGTCAACAAATAAGTCAAACATGACCAAAATCGTCAGTCGACTCCTTATTGAAGTTATTGCCCTTTAATGACGACTTGTTTGCCTATTATTGTGAAAACTATAAAAGATACATAGAAACTTAAAATAGCAAAATGATCAGCAAGACTAGATCTACAAATAAGCCATGCTGGCTCAAATCTTTAGTCGACTCATTATTGGTGTTAAGATATATTTTACCATTTATTTTGGAGATTTTGCCTTTTATCTTGAAAAGTATTAAAAATACAAATGTAGATAGACACTTAAAAAGCAAAAATGATCAGCAGGACAAGATCTACAGAAATGTCAACATGACTGAAATTGTCAGTAACTCTTTGAGTTATTGCCTTTCCATGATGATTTTTACCAAAAAGTGGCCATTATTGAAGATGCAGATGAGCGACTCAGGCTCTTTAGAGCCTCTAGTTGTCAGAAACTATAATTTTGAAAGCAAAAAATTTTAAGAACAATAAGATCTACAAATAGGTTTTCATGTCCAAAATTGTCAACCGACTCCTCATATGAGTTGTGTCCCCTGAGTGATGAT